TCTCTTCACCCCTTTCAACCCGATCTCGGGGCCCTGCTGACCCACCGCCCTCGCCTCCTCCACTTCCTTCCATGCACCGTCCCAGAACCCACACAGAGAGAGAGGAGAGAGTCTAATCGTTCGTGCCGGTAACCTTAATTTTTCTTCGCCGTGTATCCCGTGCGCCACACGCCTGACCTCTTTTGTTTTTCGTTCGATCGATCTTCATTGATTCGAACGACAAAGCCACTTTTCCTACGACCCATAACGGCCCTCGTTTGTATTACAAATGAGCGAGCGATTCCTCGCTCGATAATAGCCAGGCCGTGCATCAACACGCGAGAATGCGGTAGAATATGATTCTATTAAAAGAAACGGCAAGTTGTTCACCAATGGGGAAAGAAGATTAAATTTCGCAATGGCGAATCCATGATGCGTTTTAGAGAGGTGTACGTGGAACGTACGTGGTCGGTGCATCGATTTTAAAATAACGCGGCAACCGTTGGCATAGTAAGTGAGAGGAAGATATACGAGGAGATGTGAGAATGAACACGACACGTATTTTAGGTATATTAAATGATACGTGAGAATATACTGCAACAGTGAATGGCGCATATCGTAAGTATTTTTATTAACCCATTAAGTTGTGTTATGTTAATGTAACGTGACAGTTCATTACCAATTATCTCTTTTCTTTTTTTTTTTTTTTTCCTTTATTCGGCCAGTTTAATCTTAAATTACGAAGAACAATGCGAACCGATAATAGTAAAATCGGAAGAAAATAAATGGAATTTTTTGAAAATTTGTATATTTTTAAAAATTTCAATTCATAACCAAATTTTATTCTTCTTTTTTATTTTTTTATCGATTTATTTTGCACGAAATAAATGAAATGCTGTCACGAATTTAATTATATAATTTCAATTCCATTAATCTGGCAATTATAGACGATATAAAATTTATTTGAAAATTAATAAAAAATAATATTCCAAATATGACGTTTCGTTAAGAAGCTTTTGCGTAATATCAATTAGAATTACTATTTTCAAAAATTACTTCAACGTCAATGTAAAAAATAACGAATTTAAATATTAAATTTAATAGATCAGATTGCAATTAACGACCAATTAATGGTCGAACAATTCAACGTGCAGAATAAACAATGCCCAATCGAAGCGCTTACATTTCCATTTACACGTACTTAATCAGATATCGAAAACGTCCACGTGGTTAATGACTTGTTTATAATACTATTACATAACCGCTCTTCGAGATTATTTACCGATGCATCGATACTTCCGATCGATAATGAACATTAAACCCTCTGCGAAATTCCACCCGTATTGTCATCAAGTATCGGGAAAATCGTAAAAGTAATAATATAATAAACACATAATTATTGGTTGGCCAAAGTTGATAAATATATTATACCCTAATCAGATTCGAGATCACAGAATGGAAACCGCGCAAGGGATTATCCTTTACCCAAGCACAATTACAAATTTCATGGTGGCACTTAACACTATGCAAAGTAAGTATTCTAATGAATATTCAAAGTGTCCCAGCAGGAATAATCGCAATGCCAAGTATCTATGCTGAATCTTGCAGATTGTGTCGTAACAGCGCTAATTTAAATAGATTTACATTAAAAACAAACATGCCAAAACATTCATCTAAACGGGACAAATATTAACACGCTGTGGAATTTCAAAGTATTTCTCGGTCGATCATTTGAATGAAATTATAATTGCTAAAATTCGAATAATCGCGAATGCCGCGAGTGAATATTTCATTGCCGTTAATTTCCCATCGCTTGGCGATAATTCGTCTCGCTCGTGTATATCTTAAATTTTAAATCGGAAATCTTCATTGTCGGGAAGCTACGATTCGAAAATCGCTAAGAATTCGGCCTTCTACTTTCTTTCCACTCAGATCGAAGAAACTTTCCAAGTCCAAGCGTCTCTCGTGGATTTCGACACGAGTAGTAGAACTGTGTGGTGGACATCGGGTGGACGAAAAAGGAAGAAATAAGAGAGCGGACGAGAAGAAGGAACATCAAAGCTGAAGCCACAGTTGATACCGAGGGGACAATGGTGGCGCTCACGAGAGAAGGAGAAATGGTTAGGGGGGCGAAGAGCAGCTAGGAGGTTATGCAGGAGAGAGAGAGAGCGAAAAGAAACAACAGGGCTGTGGATATTATAAATCAAGAAGAGGTCCGTAAAGGGAACGTCGGTGGCGAAGGCGAAAGAAGAGCGAAGAAGAAACTTACGAGGGAAAACGAGAGGGGATGGTAGCGAGGGGGGGTATAAGGGATAAGAAGGGGGAGGGGAAGAATGGTCGTACATCACCGCCGGTATTTACGACGTACCATCGTAAATCAATGATCGCACGAACAGCGCGGTTCAACGAAATTCCTTTTCCCTTCCTATATATGCCCCCTTCCCACCCTTCCTTCCGACCATTCCTCCGCTTCCTGTACACGAGCCGATGTGAGAATCTGTCCTGCCATACATCGCCTTGGACAGAGGATGGTGAAGCTTAAGAATCTTTGAAGGAATCTTTGCCCCACGGCAAAGATATATCGACGATTTATCCGCCAAGACAAAAACTATTTGTCTTCGCTAGCTGAATTTTCGAACGTAAGATGAATTCATCGTTTTCGTATCGCGCAATTTATGCGGCTACTCCGACGTCACCTTCGATCTCCGCTTATGATCCTTTTTCTCTTTATCTCTCTTTTAAATCTAAAATGTAAAATGTCGTATTGATCTCTTCCTTATTTCGCGAGACTTCAAATTTCAATGAGTGAACAGCACAGAGATATCGTGATTCATATATGTGCGAGAGAGAAGTGTTTCACGAATTGGCCAATGTTATCCGACACTAGATCTCTCTAGCATTCGTCAACAATTAAAGTAAGGGGAAAAAAGAAGGGAGTTCGAGCGAAGTGGAAGAAGAAGAATAGGATAATTATCCATTTAGTTATGTTTGGGCAATCGTTTCGACCGCAACAACCTCCATAATCCCGAGTAGGACAATCTTGTAACGACAAAATAAAAAAATATTCTTAAAAACCGTGTTTCTCTTGTCTCGGTAATTCAATACCAGTTAAATCACCGGCAATGCAGATAACACCGAGTTTGCCTCGAGCCCACGGTACCGGGAAGTAGTGGGGATAGCTTGTGGCCATATATCCGGACATGAGATAGCGAGGTCGTAAAATCACTCAATCGTAAAGTAATGATGTATCGAATGTCAGAAATAACTTTTTGACACATCTACGTTCAGATAAGAGTTTGAAAGTTCGGGAACTTGAAAGAGAATGGGTTGCGCAGCCTCGAGTGTGTGTATCTCGCCTCCCGTACTCCAATTCGTTCCAAGAAAAAAACGGCAAGAAAAGGAGGAAAAGAATACGAATATAAATCAGAAGACCGTGTGTCCAGCTTCTTTTCCTGTCGAAAAAGAGGATGGGCCAGTGGGCTAGGGTCATTCAGCGTTGAAAGGAACGAAGCATTGTTTGTCGGGGCCCTTTAAACGTCATTTAAACCGTGACTGTTGCCAGCCCAGGAAGGATCGTTTTAACAAGGTTTGGGACAGAGCAGGTCAGATCGCTTCTTTACCTTATAGCGATTATGCCACGAGGCGATGCCCTTTGCGCCCGCAACCATCTCGAGGAATCAACTTTTCTCATTTTACACAAAGGGATGGTCTCGTCACAGCTGATCGCGGATGATCCCTGTAAAATCACGTTGCGCGATTGTCGAATCCCCCCACTCGGCAACTCATCCACCTCAGGGAACGATGAATCTCCGCTGCCATCTCGACTCCCTCGAAAGATACGATTTTACGTCTATTTAGGGCCAACGTGAGCTGCCGTTCGAATATTTTTAATATACAATTATATTATTTATGATTATGCAGTTTTCTTTTTCAAAAAAGAGGAAAGTATTTTAAAAATATATTTTATCAACGCGTAATACACCAAACCATGTAAAAAATTTAATTTATCTACGCGGTACTCGGAGAATTTAATCCGTGCAATTTTTACACGCTCCGCGCAAACGGAACAAATGTCCCCTTAAAAAACGAAAAAGGTGGAAAATAGACAAGGGGAAGGCAAAGGAAGACGGTGGAGGATGCGTAGCATCTTGGCGGGGACAGCCGTAAAAAAGGCGCGGTGGAAAAGATGAAAGTGACCCTCGAACGGACTTTGAAAAGAGCCATAAAAGTACAATGAGGGGTTAGAAGGAAGACGCCTTCGCTTTCAGCGCGGTGAAATGACGAAGGGAAAGGGGGCGTTCAACGGAGGAGAGGCTTGGCTCCCAGAAAATTCGTGTTTTTTACTCGAACGTTGGGAAAGATTACAAAGAACGGAAAGAGGACAAAACCTTTTTAAGATCTACGAGAGAAGAGGCGAAGTGTCTCCACGCTTAGATGATGATGAAACTCGTTCGCGCTGGTTACGACCCCTACACGCTTTATCATATTCGAACGAATTTCGTAAAGTCATTTTTTGAATTTCCCCCTTCGTCACAATTTTCACGATGCGTATAACCGCGCACGTGAAACGAGGGTTATCCCTCACGTGGTAGTGTCTCCGGGTTTTTATCTTAATTTACCAGTCGTTTCGCTAATCTTATTTGCTCGAGCTGGACGCAGTTTAATTCCATTAGCGAAATTAAAGTTCTAGCAAAGAGTATTTAACTGCGGATCGATGCTACTAACCCGCAAACCATTAAGATAAACCCCGGTGAACTCGATTCTGAATAACGCGGATAGGAGAGAAATTTTTTCGTTACGCGATCATCGCTTTTATTCCTCTCCAAAAAAAAAAACGCGAAATCATTTTCGTTTATATTTGATAATGTGGCATAATAAAACGAAAATAACGCAACATAAAACGTATAGTTTTTGAAATTTTTGAAATTGAAAAATGTTACGCAATGTAACGAAATTAAAAAAGTGAGGTTATGATACAATCCAATTAGAATGGTTAGAATCTAAGATAAAGCAAGACTGACCTGATATAAATGATGACGCCGTTGGTGCATATCCTTTTCCATCCACGTGGTACCGTAATCGCTTGTTGCTGTTGCTGTTGCTGCGTAACCACCGCACTACCGTTCATTGTCAGCACTACATTTTGTTGAACGACGTTGTTATTGTTCGAATTGTTGATGCGCGAAAGCGGCGGTTGACGCGCAGCCTGCTGCGCGCACGAACCGCCGCCGTTAACCGACGCGGCAGACAAACCATCGTGTGCTGATTGACTTTGACTTTCGGGACTGCTCAGGCTACTATACGTCGACGATTCACCGGTATCAGATCGGACAGAGTCACAGCTAGTCGCACCACTACCACCACTACCGATAACGACAACACTACCGCCACCACTGACAACACCGACATTCGAACCGGACGAAGAGAGCGACGAGCCGGTTTGGTTATCGAAACCGTCCTGTTGCCGGCTTTTCTCCTCCATATTGATGCTACGTTGTTCGACACTGTCGCCTTGAAAAACACTCGCGGACGCTTGAGACGGTTCGTTTCGTACGTACGCGACACAGGCGTCGTCGCTTAAAACACCGACGCAACCCTCCCCGGGATTCCCTTGCGTGATCTGACTACCGCTACCGTTGTAACCGTCGGTCAATCTCGCTCCTGATGGATAAACGTCACCGTGAATCCTCGTTGGAAATAATTTGTTGGGTAGCATTTCGCCGACGTTCACCCTACAGATCGGCTCCACGTTGCTCGTTGCTAGGTTATCGGTATTAGTCGAATCGTTTTCCAATGGATTTCGATTTTCCGGATTTTTGCCGTCGCACGCCGCCGCTACACACGTCATCGTGGTGGTCGTGGACGTGCCGGTCGTTTGAACCAGATTCGTCGTCTGTCTGTACAATAAACCGTTGTTGGAGACGATCGATCCATAATCTTCTTCGTCTTCGGTGTTACCGGTGGATATGGATCGTGCCGATCGGCTCGACTCTCCATCGGTGGACGCATATTCGAGCGGTTTTAACCGGCAACAATTGTTAACCGTGGTTGCAACGGTGCCGTTGTTATCGTTGCAGTAAATGGCGGTTTTGGCGGGAAACGTCGCCGCCGCCGTCGCCACCTGCGGCGGCAGAATGCCGGCGTACGTTGCCTGCTGTGGAGACTGATAGCCGACTGCGGTAGCAGCAGCAGCAGCGGCGGCGGCATTCTGACCGACCGCCGTCGCGTACGCAAAATTCTCCCCCGAAACGTAGACTAGAACGCTATTTTGTTGAATCCCCTGTGCGTGTTGAGGATGTTCTTGTTGCTGTTGTTGTTGTTGTTGTTGTTGTTGATTATGGTGGTGATGTTGATGCTGATGTCCGTGAGTCGGGAGAGCAGGGTGTGTGGACGGCTGCTCAGGCTTGCCGGCCATGGTCCAGGTCCAGCAGCGCTGCAAGTAACCCCGACACGGACATCACTGGAACGCAGGTAGCACGCCTACGTGGAGATACCTCCAGGTTTTGCGGCATCCTCCCATAAACGGAAATGATCACGCGTCTACCACTACCGAAATCCACCGCTTTCTATCGGTCGTTCCTCTTGGCCACGTACGCTCATCGATCATTCGAATCTCACACCTGCCATACACGATCTTGTTATTCGACATCCTTGGCTTGACCGTACACCGCATACCAGATGGACAGTTCACCGATCGTTCTCTCTTTGCTTAATTTCTCGATAAATTTTTAAATCGCGAACACGCTCACAAACACTTTCTTCGTAGATGATCACAGATTATAACAACGGTGCCAAGATTTTGAAATTAGAGAGTATCCGTCGGACGAAAGACACGCGCTATTCACCGGTCAATGCCCGTCTAACCTCTCTCTTGTGATTGGTATACTCTACCATCATATTAGTTTCGTTGATTGTTCGTAATTTTAATGTATCGGAAATCACGGTAAAATTATCGGTATTATTTTTCGATGATTATGTATCATAAAAAACAATATGATAGATCATAGATGATTGAACAATATTTTCCATTTGATCGATATATTTTCGTGAAAAATAATTCGTTTCGAAAATGAAAACGTTATTTTACTTTTTTTATATTCATATGGACTAAGAGATTTCTTCTATGAGAAAACATTTAAAAATTGGATAATTACTTATAGTAAATCGTATATTCTTAAATAAATTCTATGACATTTGGAGCAAAAAAAATAAAAACAGAATAATTCTTTTAAAATTTCCATTCCCAATACCCGTTTGACGTACAGTAAATAATAACATTGTTTATTAGAAAATTACGCGTCTGTTGTCATTTACAAGGTTGATTTACAAAGCGACGATTCATTCATTTGTCTCGTTTACCGATTCAGTCGCGTTCAAACAACACAATGGGGCCAAGCATTCAACTAACCTAGACTCTTGAACACGCTGTTATACGTAACGCGGTATAGTAGGTTACGTTGGAAAACTGCGTTTAAAGTAGGAAATTTTAACGAATGTTGTAGATCAACAAACAACATTCAAGTCAACTTTGGTGAAAATAGTACTACGTTTACAAATGAGAAAAATTTAATTTTGTCAGATAAATAGTTAAGATCGTTGTGTCATTGCCATGGTCCTGTCGCTTTATTCGTGGTCGCAGTTCTAATTACTCCGTTTCACATAGATGCACTTTTCGATTAATGAATAGCACTCAATTATGTCATTATAAGCCACTGTCACTAAAAAAAATACGCTATTTTGAATCTTCGTTCACACACTATAGAAGAAAGCCATTTTCTTCGACACTGAATACGTAAAGGTTAATCGTGACCGAGCCACGGCTCGCTCGATCGGTAATGGCGCGAATACACTCTCGGTATAAAAAACACTTTATATTGCCGTAACAATTCACGTTAAATCGCACGGACGGACGTACGTCGTGTTATGACGCTGTGTCATCGTCACAGCAGCAGTAGCACCACCACCACCACCACCACTGCCTCCACCACCACCACTAGTACTACCACCACTACCACCGGTCGCGGTTACGAACTCGGGTTAAGTTAACTAACCCTCTTCTCGACTCGAACACCTGCGCGGGCCGCGCTCATCGTTTTCACCGAACCTCACTTCTTGATCGCGTGGAAACGTACGCTTATTATATTCTGACTAACACAGTTTCCTCGCTTTCTCGCACTGATCCCTCGTCGTTTACTTCGTAATCACTTCCTTTCGTAAAACACTTCTTCGACATAAACTATTGAGCGAAACTCCATTCTGCAGATCCTATGCGTACGCTGTTTTCGCGTAACTGATATTGGAAAAATATGGCTCCCTCCGCATACCCAGAAACCTTTGCGGCATCTCGACGGCTGGCTTTCGGGCACTCGTATACGCACGTTACAAAAACATCGACCCTCGCTGCGATTATATCGCCATCGTTAGGCTATTCTACGTAACTCAAAGGCACGTTAACATTGTTACTTCCCACGAATGCCACCATTTAATATACTCGCATGCGTATACCGTTTAAATTTATATAAGTGTATAACAAGTCTTTCACATATATCTCTCAATAAAAATTATTGAAATATTGTATATTATTCGATTATTTTCACAAATGTATTGATAATTATTAAGTAAAATTTAAGAATCTAAAAAAACAAATTTGTTAAATAATATGTATAAAGAAAATTGAAGCGTAACATGCATGAGGGATCAAAGGTCAAATTTTATAACAACTTTTTTTTTGACATACTTGACATTATACGTTTTCCAATTTATTTGAGACGATTCAGAAATATTCTAATCAATCACCAATTTATCTATGTATAATAAATAAGATTATAATACGCGTCTATTTAAATTCGCTATAGTATTTGCGGACGAGTACATGACCTTGTATACAGTAAATTACGTGAATGTGAAGGCGTGTTTAATTTAATGCAGGCGATCATTAAATTGGACATTTGTTCACGCGCATTATTCAACTTCAGAGTATATGAAACATTATAATGATTAAGAGAGTAGTCTCTTTACATTATTAGATACATTTTTAGAAATAAATTTACTTTGATTCCAGTATTATGATTATATAAATACTGGAATATCTTTTCTTTATTACAACAATGAATACGCGCAATAGTCCTGTTTTACACATTGATACCACACTTTTTTCTTGATTATTATATGTTTCATAAACAAAATATTTTTCTTGGTATCATTATATGCCAATATGAGATTATAAACAAATTAAACACTACCTACATGTAATGAAATAATTGAAAAAAAGAAATAAATAATTTTGAAATTTTATAACCAAAATTATAGACATATATATTTATAATAGAATATTCACCAATATATTTGGTACTATTTTTATAATCTCGTCGTTACTAATACAGACATCGAGTTAAATTCTGAAAGTTGGTATTATAATCAAATACTAATAATTTAAAGAATTTTAGGGAATACGAATACAGGTAAGGTACTAATTTGACTGTCTAACTTTATTTCTAGCATTTAGTATGCGCGTATCGATCAGTATCGAAAATCGTTAAATAGAAAGAAATTCACAAATAGCAGAAAATAATCAGAATGTTCAGCGTTACATGATATAGTTGATTATGTTCACTATTAACGATACACGATGTTGCATTAGATGTTGAGTCAGCTTTCCTTATCATTTTTCTTAATGATAAGTACATCTTTTTAAATACTTCTCTACAGCAAGCAATGAACTAATTTGTAATCAGTTTACCAGTTTTCACCAGAATTTATAATTTAATTTAGAAGTGATAATAAATGTACCATCAACAGCATTAAAGGTTTCCTATACAATTCAATATTTATGAATGATCTTTATATTAATATCATTAGTGATTCTGTAGTCGTAGCTTTCACAGTCGTGCACATATCTAAACATTTTTCTCAGATTCTTTTCATCTGTCTTGAAAAACTTTGTTATATGTCCGCATTTTTTCATTCTTCTGTTAATAACATATGGTTCAGAATCAAGCGAATGGGACAAAAGTTTAAAATGAAAGAATGATCATATTTATTGTGAGACTGATGTAATTGAATTAATTTGTGGCACATTGGACACCTGAAGAACCTCTTTCGTCTTCCTCATACGCTTCTCGTTGTTCTCTTCGCCTTACTTCTTGTTCTGGATCCAAATCCATAAGAGAACAGTCTTCCGCTCCTTCTGGAATTATAACTTCTTCTCTTGGTGGTAGGCATTGTTCAAGTGTTGGAATGACGGAAGGGTCCATAGATTTCGGGAAATTCACTACAAATTGAATTATAAGTCTGCCATGTGTGAAAGGATCTTTATAAATTGGCATTCCTTCATTTAGAATGCACTTTAAGTCTCCGTGCTTTACAACAGTTCCAGGATATGAAGTTATTACTAAATCTCTTCCATCTAAAGTGCGAATAACTTTCTGGAATCCACATAGAGCTTCTACAAGTTCTAATTGCATTCTCATAATTAAATCATGACGCGAACGTCTAAAAAAAAAAAAAAAAAATTATAATATAATAAGAAATACAATCAATATAACAAAATATAACAAAACGATTAAACATAACAATTACATAATTACTTACTTGAAAACTTCGTGTTCTTTCTCTTCAAGAAGAATAACAATATCTCCTGGCTCATAATCTGGTTCTTGATCACCTTCTCCAGCAAAGACGATCTTCTGATTATGTACCATACCTGGATCAACATGAACTTCCAGAATTTTTCTATCTCTAATAGTTTTTCTACCACCGCATTGTTTACAACGATCACGTGGATTTATGCGATCCCCTTGACCTTTGCAGTCTACACATATAGTTTGCAAATGTTGCAACATTCCAGGACCCAATTGTTGTATTTGAACTTGCATGCCAGAACCATGACATGTTGAACATTGTTCCACAGAACCTTTCTTTCCACCGATACCTAATGTAAAGAATTTTAGTATATTTATAACATATTATATAATTTTCTGTTCATGAAAAAATTGTGTGTGTGTATATATATATGAATACATAATATATACCTTCGCATTTATCACAAATAACATTTTTCTGTAATGCTAATTTACGGACAGTTCCCTTGTACAATTCCTCCAATGATACAGATAATTGATGTATAACATCTTGTCCTCTGTGTTCTCTCCTGCGACCACTTCTTCCTCCTAAACCTCCACCAAAGAACATATCAAATATATCACGTGGTGAAGAAAATACATTGCCACCTGCTCCTCCTTCTTTTAAAGCTTGTTCTCCACCTTGATCATAAATTCGTTTTTTTTCAGGATTTGACAAAACTTCATATGCTTGTGAAATTTGTTTAAACTATAATAAGAAAATAAGATATAATAGATAAATATAAATTATAATATTTAAGATATTTAATATGTATTAAGATTAAAATACCAACTTTTTCTCCTTCATTAGGATTCTTATCAGGATGATATTTCAGTGCAAGTTTTCTGTAAGCTTTCTTTAAATCTTCTTGTGTGCATCCAGGTTTTACACCCAACACATCATAAAATGTAGTTTCTTTTACCATTTTTACTGATTTATTTTCTTCTAATGATGTTCAATTATTACAGTAGTATTTTTCCTGCTAAAGATCAAATAAAATAAAAAAATTATATATTTTAAATTATTAATTTAAAATATTATTTATTTTAATCTAATATTTTTTATGAAATAACAACTCATTAAATAAGGAAACAATAAACAATAATTAATTATTCTTTACAATATTCATATATAATTTTAAATCAATAAAATTAAATAAAAAATTCTACTTATATTAATAAATGTACATAATTGCATACATTTTATTTAATGTTTAATAATATTTTTTTTATAAACAAATTATAATGTACATAATCATAATAAATGTATTTTACCAGAAAATAATATAAAAATTGTATATTTATTAAAATAAATTTTACAACTTATATAAATATAATTTAATAAAATATAATAATAGATAAACATATTTAATATTTTAAACAAACATGTTATAAATGAATAATATTATAA